AGCTATGGAGATGATCGTCGTGGAGGCAGAGGAGGCTATGATCGGGGCGGCTACCGAGGCCGAGGCGGGGACCGTGGGGGCTTCCGAGGGGGCCGGGGTGGTGGGGACAGAGGTGGCTTTGGCCCTGGCAAGATGGACTCCAGGTAAGACTAAATTGAAATAAAACTAATTGAACAGGTCATGGGATTGAAAGGTTTTGGGTTTTTATTTTTATTTTTTATTTTTATTGATTTCAGAGCAGAAGGGAGAGAGAGATAGAAACATCATTGATTGGCTGCCTCCTACACGCCCCCAACTGGGGATTGAGCCTGAAACCCAGGCATGTGCCCTTGACTGGAATCAAACCTGGGACCCTTCAGTCCGCAGGCGTATGCTCTAGCCACTGAGCCAAACCAGCTAGAGCGGGATTGCAAGGTTTTGTTGAGAAAGTTGTTCCATTTTGAGGGTGAGATTGTTAAACAGATTGTAACCATAGTAGGGAAGGAAGGAGGGGATGAAAATTATCTCTGGAAACTAATCTGTATACTCAATACTTAGATGAGACATTTCTTGGGCTAGGATTTTGGGGGTGGGATGAGAGGTTGGTAACTCAGACCTTAATGGATACTCTTTCTTGCAGGGGTGACCACAGACAGGATCGCAGGGAGAGGCCATATTAGCCTGCCTCCTGAAGTTCTGGAACAGCTTTTCTTCTATACCCAAGTGTGACCCTCGTTGTTTTGTAACTTTCCAACTCCTGACCCACCCATGGGTTTTTTGTGTCGGACTATGTAATTGTAACCATATATCTGGTTCCCATTAAAAACCATTTTAGTTAAATTTTCTTCCTCTACCCTCTCTTCTGAGGATTGATGTCCAGGTCAAGAATGTGGGGTGTTTTCCTCTTTCAGATAATCCTGCCCAGCAGGAACTGGAATAAAGTGTTTGATACTTGGTCCTGGGGAGAAAAAGTTAAGTGGTCTCCTTAAAAGTAGAGATTAAACTCATCACAAAGTCAGGTGTCTGAATGGGGTAAATGAACATGTGATGTCATGAGTGTTGCCCCAAACTGCCCAACTCTGTGAACAACTTTTAGCACATTTATTTACATGCTGGTCTTAGTGAATTTACTATTTACAGCAGCCTTACCCTCTTTAAGGACTCTTGGCTCTTTTTACACTTTTTTAAGTGTGGGGCTCAAATCAGAATTGCCTTTAGGGGCAGTATTCAAATATGACCATGACTAGAGGCCCGGTGCACAAAAATTTGTGCACTCGGTGAGGAGGGGGTGTCCCTCAGCCCGGCCTGTGCCTTCCTGTGCCTGGGACCCCTGGGGGATGACCACCTGCTGGCTTAGGCCTGCTTCCCAGGGGATTAGGCCTAAACTGGCAGTCAGACATCCCTCTGGGAGCCCTTGGGGGATGTCCACTTGCCAGCAGGGAGCAGACCTAAGCTGCAGTCGGACATCCTTAGTGCTGCTGAGGAGGCAGGAGAGGCTACCACCACCACTGCTGTACTGGCAGCCATCAGCCTGGCTTGTGGCTGAGCAGAGCTCCTCCTGTGGGAGTGCACTGACCACCAGGGGGCAGCTCCTGCATTGAGCGTCTGCCCCCTTGTGGTCAGTGTGTGTCATAGTGACCAGTCATTCCCAGTCCTTTAGATGCGAGGTAGTGCAGTCAGGTCTTTTGCACAAAGGAGAGTGAGCACTTACTCACTACAGGGGTTCTGTGGCCTCACTATAGACAGAAAAAGTGTATGGATCATGTGACTGAGAATCAGAATGATAGAGCCAGCATTGAGCCCTAGTGTTCTGACTTCATTTTCAATCTGAAACCATTTTTCCAAAGGGATCAAACTCAAATGCTTATTTGCTTAGACCTTTTTTTTTTACGTGAGAGAATTCTAAATTCGAGGGGCAAGGTTTGTGAAAGGTTCAGAGTGGGCCGGGTTCATGCACATCTATGACATGAGGTCAATGTATCAAAGAAACTTTTATTTCAGGCACCTGGGTGCAGGTGGGCTGAGTCCATAAAAGGAATCAGCAGTGACTGAAGGGGGAGGCAGGGTTTTATTACTCTAGAGGCCCAGTGCACAAATTCGTGCACAGGTGGGGCCCTTCAGCCTGGCCAGTGATCAGGCAATCAGGGCCATCTCGTGGGGGTGGGGGAGACCTTGGAGGTTGGCTGTGGGAACATACTGACCAGGGGGCAGCTCCTGCATTGAGTATCTGCCCCCTGGTGGTCAGTTTGCATCATAGTGACCAGTCCTTTGGACACTTAGGCTTTTATATACTAGTATATAGACATATATAGATAGATGCTGGCTGCAAACAGTTCTGCTGATGTAAGGGTCTGGTCCATCCTTGGTTCCTCCCAGCACCAGATGTCCAGTGGTTATCTAGGCTATGCTGAGCTCAAGGCTGCAAGCTTTCTGCAAGATAACTGCTAAGCACAATAAGTTTCCTCTGCCCTGTTTTATTCTCAGTTTGAGAATGGAAGGAGATGGTAAGAAGGGGAAAGGTTAGCTGGGAAAGGAAGTTTAGAGGCATTACCTTATATTTCAAGGTGCACCCCTAGTTTTCCTAAAGATGGGGCTTGGATAGATAAAGGGAGGCAGTGGTCTACCTTGATCTCATAATCCTTGTACCCAGAAGGCTGAGGTCATTGCTATTATAAGATTTTAGGCTTGTATGAGGGTGGTGGTGGTGGTGGAGATGGGGAAAGGGTGGAGCCAATGAATTTGAAATCTTAGAGCAATGCCCCTCAAACTTGAATGCCTTTCCTGACCCTCCCCTCTTTCCCCCCAATTCTCAAATTGAGTTGAGAAAACTTGGCTGTACCTGCCAATCAGTTGTTGAGCATGCATTTCAGTTACATAGAACTGAAAATTAGAGCCAGCAGCAAAAAGTGCCTGGGAGCCCTGGTGGGAAAGTGCTTTCCTCTGTTGGATTGTCAAGTATGCTGTATGCTGTAGGTGTTTTCTAAAGAGCTGATTGGTTCATCCTGAGGTCTCCCCTGACCAGACAGAAGCTCTGGCTTTACCCTCCCTACTGGGTGGGGTGCTCAAAAACCAAGAGTAGGCTGAGTGGCTGAGCTTCCAGGCAATGATCTGAATTGGCTCATTGGCCTTGGTACATGTGAGAAATTTAGAGCCAAGATTATAGCAGTTCTCTCCTTGGTGTGGCCAGGCTGTTTGATCTCTCAAATGATTGGTTTGAATGGCCTGATCTGGATCTCGGAAGTTTCTGCCTCACCTAGTAGGGTTCTGGGGTTGTGGTTTCTTGGTCCCTGCTCCTAGGGGTAAAGGTTGAAGATCCTTGTGAAAACCTGAATACTGACTGGGATTGTTGGTATTACGTTCTTTAATGTCCTTTAATGGGCTTCAGTGATATTGGCTAGCCCAGCCGTGGGCAAACTACGGCCCGAGGGCCGGATCCGGCCCGTTTGAAATGAATAAAACTAAAAAAAAAAAGACCGTACCCTTTTATGTAATGATGTTTACTTTGAATTTATATTAGTTCACACAAACACTCCATCCATGCTTTTGTTCCGGCCCTCCGGTCCAGTTTAAGAACCCATTGTGGCCCTCGAGTCAAAAAGTTTGCCCACCCCTGGGCTAGCCCTTAGATAAAAGGTAATCTGATTAGTGGGTAGATCCATTGTGGGGACCTTTCTAGGGGAATGGATGTAGACAAAAATAGCAGAGGACGTTGGTTCTGAGGAGCTGGTTCTGCTGCCAGCTCATTATATATATATTTTATTGATTTTCCACAGAAAGGAAGGGAGAGGGAGAGAGAGTTAGAAACATCGATGAGAGAGAAACATCGATCAGCTGCCTCCTGCACACCTCCCAACTGGGGAGGTGCCTGTAACCAAGGTACATGCCCTTGACCAGAATCGAACCTGGTACCCTTCAGTCCGCAGGCCGACGCTCTATCCACTGAGCCAAACTGGTTAGGGCAAGCTCATTATTATTGAAAAAAATCTTAAAGCACTAGGTGCCTGGCTTTTCTTTTTATTATTTTAATTCTTTATTGAGTTGCCTGGCTTTTTTGAATTAGGATTGGGATTGGAACAGGCTAAGTAAGAAAGGAGGGTAGGTTGTGGGTGGGGAGAGGTATACTATAGGTCTGCTTGTCTCCTTTGATTTAGTTCAGTCTTTTTAGCTTTTTATCCTGTCACATGCTGGGCCTGGCCAGTTTTTGTGTTTTTTTAAATACTGATTTCAGAGAAGAAGGGAGAGAAACATCAATGATGAGAGAAAATCATTAAATCATTGATAGGCTGCCTTTTGCATGCCCCCCACTGGGGATTGAGCCTAGGTTGATGCTCAACTAGTGAGCGATGCTGGCTGGGACTGGCCAGGTTTTATTGACTTCAGTATAGGGCCGAGGTTAAGTCATTGATGGGTAGACTAACCAGGAGTTAAGGTCTAGGGTCCAGCCCCTATGAGACTCCACTTCTTCATCCAGGTATATTTGTTCCCACTTGGTCTGTCTCTTAATGATCCACTATGGGTTGTGATCTCACTTCCTATACTACTATGCATGGGAACGAGAGGCTAAATTCGATGGGGATTCATCTGCAACCATTCCTCCCCAGTCTTTACAGAAATCAGACTGTCTTTACTACTTTTGGGCCCTCAGTATGTAGAAAACCTTTAATTTTTAACTTTTTTTTTTTTTGGAAATAGTTTTAGTTTCCACAAAAATTATTGTTCTTGGTGTTGGCATATAAGAACTGAGGAACTGTCAAGTGGGTCCTGCCAGCAGATTTGGCTTTAGGTAAAGCTTGTAGAAATTGTCGGACTGTCAATACTATGGTTTTAGAGGGGCTTTTGGAGACTATTGGATCTAAAATTCCTATTGTTTGCCTGGTTGGCATGCTTAGTGGTTGAGCGTTGACCTATGAACCGGGAGGTCATGGTTCAATTCCTGGTCAGGGCACATGCCCAGTGTTGCGTGCTCGGGTTTGCAGGTTCAGTCCCCAGTGTGGGGAGTGCAGGAGGCAGCCAACCAATTATTGATGTTTCTGTTTCCTTCTCCATTCCTCTCTGAAATAAAAAATAAAATTCTCATTGAGGCCAGGAACAGGCAGGAAAAGTGTGTTCCTCATGAGCAGGAATTTGCTCTGCTGATGGGTAGTGCTCTCAGCTCCTTGGATTGTAATGTGGCTTTAGCCCTGGTGCTAGAGAAAGGGCTCCTTTAATGAAGAACAATTGAGAGCCACCAGTGTGGGAACTGGAGACAGGGAAGGAACTTGGACTGTTGGCTTGAAGACTGGGGATTCCTTGTGCTGTAATGGGGGACCAAATTTAGGTGGCTTTACATGGGGAATTCCAAGGTGGCGGTGGGGGGGTGAGGGGGTGAGTGGGATGCGTGTGGGAAAATAAATCCTTGAAGGGAGCAGGATTCGAGCTCTTCCACCCAACACCACACACACTTCAGGCTGGCTGTGTTGCTCAATTGCCTGGATTCCCTGTAGCTGTTCAGTGTAGTGTCCTTGGGGCTTTGTAGACTCTTTAGGGTGGGAGCTCTGTTAGATCTAGGCTTTTCTATCTGCCCCCACCCCCTTAGATTTTGAGGGAAAGCTGGCCCGTCCTGTGTACTGTCTTGAGTAAAAAGGCAAATCCCTGTGTGGGAAGGCCTCTGCAAACCTGACTCAGTCTGAGGTGGCAGGGCTGAATCCTCTTATGTAGCTGTGTGTCTAAGTTGAATATGCACATGAACCATTGGACAATTTTGTTGGCATGTGGGTTCTAATTCAGTATGTAGGTCCAGGTCAGGTGCAAGCTCTGGTGCTGCTGCTGCTGATTCAGTAGCATACTAACGCTGCGTACTCAAGT